GCTTTGGTGACACCTTGCACCATTGCGCGCAACTGCGTAGCTCATCGCCCCTTTCACAAGCGTTGCTCGGATTAGAGCATTGCGTCTTGGCTCACACGTCCTCTGCCTTTGACGTTTCCTTCCAAACAAGTGACTAAATCCCACTTGGTACCACTAAGGTATAGTCTTGTGAACGGTTGTGAATTGCTGATTTTTCCTTAGTAACTTGTTTTTCCAGGCTGAAGAAGATCTCAAACGATTAGCCCAGCTGCCAAACAGCGAGGCGTTCGTGAAAGCCGAACTCGCAGTAGTGGCTCAGAAGAGAGCGGAATTAGCTGCAAGCAAAAAAGAGACCTACTCCAAGATGTTCAAATAGCCGGACGGTAGCCTCAATGGAAGGTTTTGATTTTGGCTAGATCTGAAGGTTTGGAAAACAATTTTGGATGCTGATCGGGATGGGAGGGGCATTTTGCACATTCGCTAGTTTCTGGAACTAGTTCCTATTAAACTACACGTCTCATCTTGGTAAGACCCGGAGGCTCTTGTCAAGTGCGGAGCTCATGCTGTTGCGTAGCTTTACATTTTACACGTCTCCACGAGGCATCAGTTACCGGGGGCGAGCAGAATGCCCCCACCATGCCGAACTGACCCCTTTTTGTTTCGTTGTTTATAAACTGCCTGCCATCGCACGTCATAGTATATTGTACATTGTTGTGAAGTGTGACCTTTCTAGCGGGTGGAACTTAGCGCAAAACTTGTTCTGCATTTTCAGTTCAGGTGTCTTACTTTCGATTCCCGTAACTGGAATACGAGCGCCTGTCCGAGTAGTCTATCTGTACAGTTGTCTAGAGAAGATGAATGCCCTTTGCTTTCCTAACGTTCCAGCTATGCAATATTCTATATCTTTCTGTTAATTTTTCACTCGAATATTTGGAACCATCTGCTAAGCCGGTTGCGCTCGCCATCCTTGTTGCTCAAATATCTTCATTTTTTTCACTCATAAGCTACTATCGACTCGTGTTCCGTTTCTTGATATGTATAGCGTAGTAGGGGTGACAATATCATGGCCAGTCGGGTTTTTCGACTGTGTCTCCGTGAAAGAGTCACTCTCCCACCACGGCCCCATCTAAAGCTCCTAAAGAAGAAAATTCATCTTTCGAAAGGAACAGGACATACTCCCAAGTGAATCATAGCTTGTGAACTTATGGACTCCTTTGTAGCAGCAGACAGGCATTCACTCAAAACTACAGAGAAATAAGAACTCAAAAAGTAGGTTCCTCATAGGGGTTCCTTCTACTGATAGGCCACGCCCCACACTACTGCAGGCAGAAGCACGATCACTTTGTCGTTACTTGTCAGCTGCCGCGCGTATCACTCCCCCTCTATCATCCTACTTTATATAATCGGCTATGTCCGTGTGTGTGTGTGTGCGTCTGTCTGTCTGTCACGAAATTCATAGCGCCGGTCCCAGTAGCTGTAGGAAGTTGATTCCAAGCAGTGATATAGAGGCTGTGACGGGAACATTATTGATGGGTGACAGGGAGTGATATCAGCTGATAAGATCCGATAAGAGGCGTCAGAAGGGGAGGGCCACCGAGTCATTGGGTCCATGGTGCACAGGAACACAGCAACAGTGGGACGTTGGTTCCAAGGTATGGTA